AGTACAACTTGAAGTCAGGAATTGTGATACCATTTTTACACAGAGGCACAACTAAGTTATACACACACACCCCAACATTTTTAATATGTAAATTATAGAAAGAATTTGGAGTATGAATGCTTTCCACATAAGTTTTGGTGAAAATGTGCTACATTTTTTAGTTGGCAACCTTGGTGTATATGTCTCTGTGAGTGTGTCTGTAGCCTTTGTCAGCCTGGAACTTTTGATATAGCCTAGCTTTGTCTTGAACTCTTCTTATTCCTCTTGTATCCACCCCTCAAGTGCTGGAACTACAGGTATGAGTCTCTGTGCTTGGCTTGTATAATCATCTTAATTATATCATCAGAGTGTTTTACACATTATCTTACTATCATACTATTTTAAATCATCTTCAGTTGATGTTTCCATGTTCAGTAGAAAAAGAGTGAAGTGTTACTAATAGGTTTTAGAATTAGTCATTACACACAAAGTAGATAGCTAGTGTTATTGTTCATAAGGAAAGTTGGATCTAAGTCAAGAAGAAATATGTTAAATATTTTTAGGAAGTGCATATTTAAAAATTCTGAGGACAGATAAAAACATATTAATTGTGTTTTAGCAAGTCTTTTAAGTGCTTTTATTTAATAGATAGCTAAGAATTATTTATCATAATTCTGCTCATTAAATCAAAATTAATACTAAAGAAGTGTTCAAATGGTCTTTTTCCTTTTACATCAAATAGGCTAGGCATTTGCTTTGTTCATATTGTGAATTTTTCATACAGGCTTCAAAGGTAGCCATCAACTCAATTAATTAGTGGAATCAGGCTTAATGAGATTTAACTATATCAAGTCATTTGTACTCTAGGCTAGTTTCATTTTTTTGAATTGGACTAGCATTTTCATGAAAGAAGGGAAATTAGGGTTATTTTAACCTTTATTCATAAAACGGGGAACTATATTTTCTTATGAATTAAGTATTTCTAATAACCATGGTTTTAGGGGCTTACTAATATTAATTTTTTTGTGTGTTTTCATTCTTGATTAGTTTGGTTATTTCAAGACTGTTTCTTGTAGTAAGATTCATTAAATACTTATCATTTACAGCGATGGTATGTAATTTTTATAAATTACCAAATGACACTTTATGGGACACTTTCCAACTTCATCATTTATTGTATTGTAAGAGAAGAAACCTCACAAGGGGACTGGATATGTAGCTTGATTGTTAGAGTGCTAACGTGCCTGATGTCTTGAGTTCATTCACTGGTACCACAGAAAGCCAGGGCTGCTTAACTGTAGTTTCAGCACTTGGGTGTTGGAGACAGGAAGATAAGTTCAACATCTTTATTTGTATAATGATGACGACCAATCTGAGAAACATGTGGAAGTTCCAGGTCATCGGTGGTTACATAGTGAGTTTGTATTTAGGTAAGTTTATGTGATAAGAAGATATATTATATAGACTTGAAGAGATAAAATAGGGACATTATAGTTTTCATTAAAACAAATGTGTGTGTGTGTATGTGTGCACTGTGTGTATGTGTGCACACTCTTGTGTCCATGCAGGTGTCCACGCTTGTACATGAGCTTGTATTGCAGGTTAGAAGAAGATATCGGGTGTCCTTTTACCACTTGGCCTACTTCTTCAAGGCAGAGTCACTCCCTGAACTTGGGGCTAGCATCTTGCCTGTGTTGGGATCCTGAAAGCCAGAGGTCCACCTGTGTCTGCCCCATCTAGGCTGTGGGAAGTTTGGTGGGGTTGCTGGGCTGCTTGTTTAGGTGCTAGGATTTCAATTCCTGTCCTTGTGATCCCAGAACAAGTACTCCCAACTAGTGATTCATTCTTCCAGCTCCACAATATAGCATCTTTTAAAACCCTAATGTCTCATAGTCTCCTTGTAACGCTTAGACTATGCTGTTAGCTAACATTTGTTTTGTAGTCCCCTTACTTTTCCTTTGTAAAAGAGCAGCATGATATAACACTTTTCAGTGTTCTTATGAAGATGGGGTTGCATTATTTTCATCTTTGGAATGACCAACCTTCTTATCTTGGGAAATGTGAATGTGAAACCTCCTGAGGGTTTCCCATTTATGGAATTTTGTTCATTGAATGGCTCTACTTCTTTTTGGTAGATTATCAATGTACTAGTTACTTTTTTATTATCACGTTAAAACATCGTGTCTACGTGTCTAAAGTGCTGTATAGAGGGGAGGGTTTATCTGGGTTTATGGTTCCAAGGAGGGGATGAGCGGGCGAGCAGTTCATCATTCCAGGGAAGTAGCGCCATAACATTAGGCATGGTGGTTGAAGTAATGGGATGAAATCTTACATCTTGAGCCACAAGCACAAAACACTGAGAGTGGTGTGAAGCTTTGAAACTTCAAAGCTACCTCTATTGACACACACATTCCAATAGGGCCACAATTTCTAACCCTTTCCAAACAGTTGGACCAACTGGGGACTAAGTATTCAAACATATGAGCCTATGGGGGGCATTCTCATTGCATACCATCACAAAGTCCATTGTCAGTGACATGTACAGCCCAAACTGGCTTCTAATTCTGTCACCACCGTCACCTGCCTCAGTGAAACACTAACCAAAGAGCTATTAGCTCTGTGTGGGTGTGTGGTTCCTGTGTTCCTGTGGGTATGCATGGGGTGGTGGTGGTGGTGGTGGTGTGTGTTGGGGGGCCGGTTGTCAGAGGTTGATGTTGGATGTCTTCCTTAGTTGGTCTTCATCTTATTTTTGAAGAGATGTTATTCCCTGGAGTCTGGAGCTCACTGGCTGGCTAGACTGGATGCTCGGATTAGCCTGTCTCTTGTTCCCCAGCACTGGTCTTGCAAGGGTGCAACACTGTGCTTGGCTTTTAGTATGGGTGCTGGGGACCCAAATTTAGATCCTTATGTGCAGCAGGCAATTTACTGGCTAGTTCTTTTTATTGGAGACTTTAGAGAGCTTCTGAGTTGAAGCAGTAAAACCATAAGTAGCAGAGAAGGTTTGAGTGCCGGGCTGGGCAGGTGTGGTGGAGGCACGTATTCAGAGTGAGAGCAGTGATGTCAAGGAATAATTCTCTCCAGTTAGTCATGACCAGAGACGAGCAGCTCTGCTTCATGTGACAGAAGTACATAAAACCACCTTTTCAAAGAAATTAAGTACCAGATACAAAATAAAAAATAGTCATTGTCACCTGATATAGCATTCATCTCTTTTTATAAAAGAGTGAATTATTTGACAGATCTAAAGTTAGTGCTGACGATAAGTCATAAACATTCAAGGCTTGCACTTTATTAAACTGTCTTTCATCTGGAGTTAGCAATACATGTCTTGTGCAACTGATAAATTTAGTGTATGTTTTATAAAATAATTGAAATTAAGAGCCTCAGGATATGAATATTTGCACATATGTATTTCCCAGTTTTAGTCTATTGTGGCTACATTTGAATTAGATTTTAGTTTGTCAGTTTATTTTTATTTGATAATCATAAAACTAATTTGTACTTGTCAGAAATCTGTGTATTTTCTATTGCTATTATGTCTTTTTCAAGGAATAAAAGGCATTGAATATTTATAAAGAAGCTTAAGAAGTGCCTAAGACAATTCTGTGTCACGCTTTAAGCAAAGTTTGTAGTGTCTCTCTGAACTTGGCTTTCTTAACTTTAAGATTACTTTCAATTATAAACATTCACCAGAGTAAAACGTAAAGCTAACTCATGGTGAAGAGAGAACAGGAGTTGTAGGTAGGACCAGTGAGACTCACATTACCCAGATACCAGTACCCAGGATACTGTACTGTTATAAAGGGAAAACTCAGTCTTGGGATAGGAGCATTCACAACAGAAAAGGGCCCAAGCACAGCAGCTTCCCCAGGGGGCTTTAATTTGAAGATCAAGATCAAACAAGTTTAGATATGAATGATGCTATACATCTTTGTAAAATAGTCATATTCACACTAGCATTGTAAAGATTCTAGGACATCCTGTGGTTCAGACTAGAACTGAGGATGGATACTATTTGCCTGTAATCCTAATACTTGATTGGCTAAGATAGGCATATCCTAAGTCTGAGGCCAGCCTGGGCTATGCCATAATACTTGGCTCAAAAACAAAACAAAGTAAAACAAAACAAAATAGCAAAATGTTTTCAATGAAACAAAAGCTATGCAGCATTACAGGCCTTATTTCTTAAGACAGTCACAATAGATTCAGATGGTAGCTTTCATATGGTTACATTTTAAATTGCTTACAAATTATCCTATAGAAACTAAAAGTCTTTTAATTTGCTGTAGTGTAGATTCCACTGTCTCTTGCTAGTGAAAATCATTTCTTTGCTTATTCATAAATGATATTGTTTTAAAGGGAAAGTGAAGGGTAGATACTACTGACAAGCAGGGAATACTCTGGAAGAGCGTTCAAGTGTCTGTCCTGTGGTTAGTTGAGTGCTGCACCTTCTGTCATTGTAGGCAGCCTCCGTGAAGGGAACAAGGGTGCTGGTCTGCAGATAATGTGCGGTACTGTGGCTCTCAACTGTGACTGTGCTTGCGGGACTTTGTGCTTGAGGGATTTCTGTTGGGACAAAAATGCAGGGAGAAGCTGGGGTCTAAATGAGTCATGAGCAGAAAAAGAGACCACAGAAGGCTCTCTGTGGAAACAAAAATAAGTTCATATTATGGAAAGAGAACAGACACATAAGAACAGATCACCCCACCTACTCTGATCAGCACCATCCAGTTTTGCCTTCACAGATGTGGCAATGGTTTTAGTGAGGTTCTTTTAAAATTTCAATGATGACTTTCCAGTCTTTAATCTTTGCAGCATTTAGCACTTTTAAAGCATGACTATTTGAAGCAAGAACTTTTCATTATAATCCAAAGGAAGAAATTATTGAATGTGACCTAATATGGTGGTTGGCTTTCAGTGGAATACAAATATAAAAAATTTTTCATTTAAGTTATTGGGAGACAATTCTATCTTATTCTACTTTTAATGTAAATCTAATGAAAGTTTATTCTTCTTTTTAGGCAAGAGTTCAACACTGTGTCTGTTCTGTAGCCAGTGACCACTCCGTAGGACTCCTAAGTCTGCGGGAGAAAAAATGCATCATGTTGGCGTCTCGCCACCTGTTTCCTATTCAGGTGATCAAGTGGAGGCCTTCTGATGACTACCTGGTGGTGGGATGCACAGACGGCTCTGTGTATGTCTGGCAGATGGACACTGGTAAGAATGAATGTGGAGAGAGAGTAGAGTCAAAAGAATGTATTTGATTTCCTGAAAATAGTTCCTTATGTGAAAATAAAGCCTAGAAATGTACAGAGGCTTCTCTGTATATTTCTGTAACCATCCTTTATAATTTTATTTTTATCTATGATGGCATGCGTAGCATCCTTATATTTGTTGTATTATGTTAGACCTTGTAGATGGTTCGACACTCCTTAAAGACACGCAGTGGAGGGTGATGTGCAGATGCGGGTGATAGGTAGTGGTGCCCATATTATTTATAGATGGCCAAGCAAGCTGAGGAAGACAGTTGTGACTCATGTTTAAAAACAGTGGGAAAAGTTAAAACCAGTTCTTATTTGAACAGCAGAGAAGAGAAGCTGGCCAGGTAGTTTTAGGAGCCAAATTGAAATGGGCACTGTAGGCTTTAGAGACAACATGTGATATTTCAGTTTTCAGTTTTATGTATGGATCTAGTTTAGAATAAATATTGCTCTGCTGGAAAGCACAGGCGCTGAGGGACGTGCATATATAGATCTATACAGTTTTTACTAGGAATATTTCGGCAGGTAACTTAATGTTTTAGCTTATGTTTTTTGTTTGTTTGTTTGTTTTTGTTTTTGTTTTTTCGAGACAGGGTTTCTCTGTAGCCCTGGCTGTCCTGGAACTCATTGTGTAGACCAGGCTGGCCTCAAACTCTCAAACTCAGAAATCCACTTGCCTCTGCCTCCCAAGTGCTGGGATTAAAGGCATGCGCCACCACCGCCCGGTGCTTATGGTTTTTTTTTTTTTCAACTTAATAGAGCACAGATTTTTAAATTATTTGAAATGGATTAATTTCTGGATTCATCTAAACCACCAAACTTAAACCAAGAAGAGATGAGCAACTTAAACAGACCCACAATGAATGAAGAGATTGAAACAGTTAGAGAGAGCCTTCTGATTAACAGCAGAATCCTACAAGAATGTCTAAAAATCTTCAACACAATTCTCACAAACTAGTTACAGCCATGCATCAGATAGATTATTCACTGTCATCTAGTTGACTTTATCCCAGAGATGCAATGACTGTTTAACATACACATGTTAGTAAATGCAATAAATCACATACATTGCCTTAATGACAAAAATTATATGATCGTTTTAAAAGATGCAAGGAAAAGTCCTTGATAAAATCCATCATGTCCTCAAAGTAAAAGTCCTAGAGTGTAGGACTTGAAGGAACGTATTTCAACCTAATTAAGTATATATGTATGTGAGTGTTATATCATATATATATGATAAAACCAAAGCCAACATAATCCTTAATGAGGGAAAGCTTCAAGCAATCCCTATGCATTTGAAAAGAAGACATGCAACTAATGTATTACTCTGAGGGCATCTAACCTAAAATCAAGCAGCAGAACTGGTTTTTAAGCTAACAGGAAAGCCCCCAATCCGTATGAGCAGGGTTAGGTCTGAGTGTCTCCTCAACCCTGTGAGGATGGCTGAGGTAGCTCTTTGGAGTTTAAATACATTTCATAGATCAAAATCCTGCCTGAATATGATTTATGAAGCTTCATTTTTTATTGATAGGATAAATAAATAAATAAATTTAATAAATAAATGATGTCAGTACCTTCATGATGTACCTTCCTAACTCTCTAGGGGCCTGTATATCACTGGCTACAGCTTGAACATCAAGAGGAGGAAAAGCATGTTTCTCCCATCTCAGTTGAAATCCAGAACAAATGTGATTTCTCCCTTTTTATTTGTTGGCCTTTCCCCCCATGTATTTGCAAGAACTCTACTATAAGCTGTTAACTATGTGTCTCATTAACCAACAAATAGTTAATACAAGCGTTTTAGAGTGAGCAAAACACCTTAAACTCTCTAGCTCTTGTGTAGTTCATAGTTCGGGATTTGAAGAGGCATGTAAAAATTTAACAAAACAAACAAACAAAAAAAAATTGCCAGGCAGTGGTAGCACACGCCTTTAATCCCAGCACTTGGGAGGCAGAGGCAGGTGGATTTCTGAGTTTGAAGCCAGCCTGGTCTACAGAGTGAGTTCCAGGACAGCCAGAGCTATACAGAGAAACCCTGTCTCGAAAAACAAAAAACAAAACAAAAAATTTAAGTAAGGTTCAGGAGAGCTGTCTTAGCAGTTAGGAGCACTTGCTGCTATTGTAGAAGTCTCCACTTCAGTTCCCAGCACCCACCTGGCAGCCTATAACTCTCAAACTCTCTCTTTAAGAGATTCTGACACCCTCTTCTAGCCTCTGTAGACACCAAGCATGCATGTGGTGCACAGACACACGGAGGCAAAACATTCATATACATAAGAATAATTTAATCTTGAAAATGTTTAATATATAGTTGATAGGGTGGTAGTTAGAAGTAAGGAAAAAGTAAGACAGAAAAAGAGAAACTGAAAATAGTCTGGGAGTATGAAAGGTGGGGATTAAGCCCAAGTTATGCAGGAAGAAGTCTGTGTTCTAAGTTAAGAAAGATGTAAACCAGGCCATGGTACACTCCTTTAATTCCAGCACTGAGAAGCAGAGGGATCCTTGGGTTTGAGGACATCTTGGTCTATAGAGTGAGTGCCAAGACAGCCAAGGCTACAGAGAAACTCTGTCCTGAAATATCAATCATTCATCAATCAATCAATCAATCAATCAACCAACCAATCAGTAAATAAATAATAGAAGGCAAGGCCAGATGAGGTGCTTTGTAGTAGCTGTGGGTACAAATAGTACTTAGTTTATAAACATTTGGGAAACATTATAGTGGTGGAACCAAGAATCCAAAAGATCCTACAGTGGTGGGGTGCTTTGTTCCTGCCTAGCATGAAGGAGGTACAGGATTTGATAACCAGCAATGAAGAAGAAATTTTTGCATACTAATGGAGAAGACAGCATTTCCATTTCTGTTCTATGGATGTTTTCTTGAAAAAAAAAAGCTTCAGAAATTATTGAAGGAGAAAACCAATTTTTGTGAAGGGTTTTTGTTCTTCTTTAAATGTTGATAGAAGACTAAGGTGAGATCATTGAATTTGGTGTTTATAAAGAATGTGAAAGTAACAGACTAGTTAAGAAAACCCTCTTTGGAAACAGAAGAGGGAAAAGGTCTGGTAAAGGTTCTTAAAGCCTTAGCTTTGAGTTTGAGTTTACTGGGAAGGTTTGTGAGGCCTTGGGGGAGAGGAATAATTGTGGACTCTACATGGAAGATTAGTGTACGGAGGAAGTACAAGGTAATGTTTGTGGGTAGATACTAATAAGGCATTCCTACAAAAACACTGTACCATTTTTTCTATACCTAAACAAACAAAAGTTGATCGTACTGTGTAATCCACGTGGGGATGCTGCCTTCCAGGTGCGCTGGATCGCTGTGCGATGGGCATAACAGCAGTGGAGATTCTGAATGCTTGTGACGAAGCCGTTCCTGCGGCTGTAGACTCACTTAGTCACCCAGCAGTCAACCTGAAACAAGCCATGACCAGACGGAGTCTCACCGCCCTTAAAAACATGGCCCACCATAAGCTGCAAACCCTTGCAACTAACCTTTTGGCTTCTGAGGCCTCTGACAAGGTGAGCTTTGTATGTAGTTTCATAGTGCATGGGTTCCTTGGAAGGTTATTTACTAACATAGCTTTTTTCCAATCCTGAACATTTTGTCAAAAGAAAAGGATTTTTTTTCCGATTTAAAAATCTTAAGATTATTTTTACTGAACTAAATGATGTTGGTTTGACATTATAAAAACACAGGTTTTTAATTCTTTGTGGAATCTTAAGTTCAGTTCAATTTTCAGACACTAGCTACTTCTCTGTCTGGCAGAAGGATGTCCTACCGATGAGCAATAGCAGAGCCAGGCCAGTCAACTGGTCCCGCATCCTTCATTTTGAAAAGCTAACCTGCCGTTTATTCTTGCTTTCAATTTTTTCATAATGGTTAAACTTGTGTATAAATACTGAAGGGGTTGAAAAGCTCACCTATAAACTGACAATTATCCATGAATTAGGGAATGTTGGCAGTGGATGAGAACCCGCCGACTGTCCCATTGACCCATATCCTCCATAATTGGCAGTGATGCCATCCTTTGATCATCCTTTCTTTCCTCAAGACATTAATGTTTTATTGGCTCAGTTGTAGTTTATATTTCATTAGTTGGACCTATGAAGAAGTCCTTCTGTGGTTTTTCTCCATACCTTCAGGTCCATGCTCTAAAGTTTGAGGAGAAATCACAGCTTAAATGTGTTGCTGGTGCTTCTCATTTGTTCAAATAATTATGTACTTGTCCCAGGAAGTCATTGTCTCACTATACAATGTGGCACTACTTTCATTTTGTACGAACGTGTAAAACAATGTATTAAAGAATTTGTCCATGTTTTTATCTCTAAGAAACAAAAGATATATTCTTACATTTCTTGATGGTAGCTCCTAGAAATACAAAATTAAAAAAAGTAATTTTCTAACATATAGCTGGAAAATTAATGAAAAAAAATCAGTGTAGTACTGTTGATGAATGGCTTTAGTAAGTGGTCAGGGTTCATTGGGTGATTTTTTTACAGTCTTGTTTGTCCCTCTTCTAATAGTGTATTTTATAGTGTAATTAGTGATGAAAGCAGCAGATAGCTGCTGGAGAGGAGTGTTTGCCTACACAGAAGACAGTTATAGGAGAGGAAAGGCTTAGGAAGCTGAGGCTGCAGGAGGATAATCATTTCATGAAAAATGTATGTTGGCTGGACCATTAAGGGTTTCTCTCACTGTTCGTGCATGCTATCACAGTGTCTGAGTTCATACATGCATCAGCCCCGATGTCCCGAAGAGGCTGCTTAGTTGGAGTCATCACCACCTCTGGCTCTTAGCGTCTGCCCACATCTTCCACATAGATCCCTAAGCCTTGTGGGGAGGGGTTTGGTAAAAACATTCCTTTTATGGCTGAGATCTCCAGGGTTTCTGACTGTCTTCACATTGTCTGTAGGTCTTTTTGTTAGTTAGGATATACTGAAGAAGAAGCTTCTCTGATGAGGGCTGGGCAATGATCTGACCTATGGATATAGCAGTCTGTCATTTGGAGTCATTTTGTTGCTATGTTTAGTTAGCAGAATAATAATAGTAGGTTTTCCCCTAGGGCCCAGCTCTCTTGAGTCTCAGTTTCTAGCTTCATTAACTGTTAAGTTCTGAGTTCCATCTCATGTTTGGTAACTTACATAACATTGATGCTGCTATTGCTCCAGTCTGTCTTGCAAGCAGGTCACTGTTGTAGGTCACAGGGTCCATAGCTTAGTGAGATGAATGAATGCTGTTTTTTCTCTATCATTTCAGATAGCATATCATCTTCCAGTGCTATGAATGCTAGTTGGTTAGGGTAAAGCTTCTAGTTGGGCACCAATGTGATTTCTCATGTTCAGTGATGTAAACGGTATCTTCAGATAAGGACTTACCTTCAGGTTGAAGAAGGTAACCAGTAATATGGGCAATTCCCTGTAATGTTTCAAGGTGTGGTCTATGGGTTCCCTGTGGCCAATGACTCAACAGAATCCAACTCATTCCTAGTACTGGGGTTTTACTTCATATCATGTGGTGTCTAGTTTATGCATTGCCTTCTGCATTATATGGTAACCCCATTTAAATTCCATTCACATATGTTATATATCTTAGGAAGCTTCTACCATAGTAGATTTCCACAATAGTCTTTCAAAAGATTTTAGTGTTATCCCTCCCCATAGCCTCTCCTTTACATTGCCCTGATTCCCCTCTGAATTTAATCCCCCAATTCCAATTGTTCCTTATCCCTTTTATAATGCTAAGTTCTATTTTCCCTTCCTTGGAGCAGGTCCTCATCCTCATCCTTTCCAAGCTAACCTTTGAGGATATTCTATTTTTTTAAAAAGATTTATTTATTTTATTTATGAGTACACTGTAGCCATCTTCAGACACACCAGAAGAGGGCATCGAATCTCATTACAGATGGTTGTGAGCCACCATGTGGTTGCTGGGATTTGAACTCAGGACCTCTGGAAGAGCAGTCAGTGCTCTTAACCACTCAGCCATCTCTCCAGCCCCCTGAGGATATTCTAAATAAGACACACATCTAAAGATTAAAAGCTAACATCCATATATTAGAGGAAACATGCAATATTTGCCTTTCTTGCACTGAGTTACGTCACTCACTCAGGACAGTTGTTTCTAGTTTTATCAATTTACCTGCAAATTTTTAAATTTTGGTTTTAACAGTTAAAAAATATTGCATTTTGTATATGTACCATATTTTCATTATCCATTCATCAGTTGATGGATGTATAGGTTGCTTCCAATTCCTGAATAGAGCAGCAGTGAACCAGGTAAGAGGTATGTCGATTAGTTTTATGTCAACTTGACACAAGCTAGAGTCTTTTTTAAAGAGTATCTCTTGTTTGTGAAAATGCCCCATCAGACTGTCTTGTGCACATGCCTCTAGGGTGTCCTCATGATTACTTAATGATTAATGTGGGAGTACTGAAGGAAGTTATTCCTGAGTTGTATAAGAAAGCAGGCTGAGTAAGCCATGAGAGCAAACCAGTAAGCAGCCTGCTGGCCTCTGCTTCAGTCCCTGCTTCTAGATCTCTGCCTTGAATTTTTGCTCTCACTTCTTTTGATGATGTGCTGTGATGTAGAAGTTTAAGCCAAACAAACTGATTCTTTCCCAGGTTGATTTTGGCCATGGTGTTTTATCACAACAGTAGAACATTAACCAAGACAGCAGGTATCTCGACCCCTAGCGTCCTTTGAGCATATGCTGGTTTTATGCTGAGCTCCTTCATCTGGAGTTGAAATTTGTGCAGAGTGATAGATTTGTATGTACTTTTATTCTTCTACACACAGCTGTTCAGTTTGACCAGCACCATTTGTTAAAGATGCTATATTCTCTTGAGCATGAAGTTTTTGCTTCTTTGTCAAAAATCATGCATCCATAGGCATATGGATTTACATCTGAGTCTTCAGCTCTATTTTGTTGATCACCATGACTGTTTTTATGTCTATACCATAATGTTTTTTATTACAGTAGCTCTGAGGTACAATTTGAAATCTGGGATGGTGATACCTCCAGCAGTTCTTGTATTATTAAGGATTGTTTTAGTTAGCCTGGATTTTTGTTTGTTTATTTCCTTATGAAGTTGAAAATTGTGTTTTCAATTTCAGTGACTAATTGTGTTGGAATTTTGATGGGAGTCGTATTTGTGAAAAAAATTCTGCTTTTATTAGACCATATAAAATATTTTGAAACTTCTTGACTTTTATAGTTTATGCTGCAAAATAATTGAATCAGTCCAATCCAGGAGCATTTATTGACTAATTAGGTACTGTGTTAGGCCCTGGAGAGCCAAATGGGTAAGACATGGTATTTACTCTCAGGAGATGTGAACAGATACATTGTAAAGCTCTGGATCCAGTGGTGTGGTGAGACATGCAGAAAGTATTGCAGACGTCTTCCTAGCCTGAGGTGATAGGGATTGGCTGTTTGGAGGAGGGATATGTGGAATATATTTAGGTTTTGAATGGAGAAGGGCTGTAGTGTGTTCAGCAAGGAGGAGGTGAAGTCAGCGTTGTTGGAGCTCTGCTGGAGACCAGGAGTGCTGGGGACGAAAGGAAGGGGAGTTCGTTTTGTACCAGGGAAGATGCTGAAATTTTTGCTTTTTACCTCAGTGGCTTTCAAAAATTAAAAAAAAAATCTTTAGAGTTCTTTACTCAAATGGAATTTTACATGAAAGCCAGTCAATAAATTTGATAAGGAGTACAGTGGAGAATTTAAACTCAATAGTTGAATTGAGTTGTATTCAGTGGGAGCCGATGATTGATTGAGTCTGAGTAACAAGGGAGGTTTATCCCAAGGTCCCCTGATTGACTGACTGGAAAGTGGCTCTATCAAGGCTGATATTGGATGTATGAGCAGGTTTTATAGGGACAGTGAAGAGCTGTTTGCTTAGTTTATGGTAAACCTGAAGTGCCTGTGTGTTACATATGTCAGGATGTTTGTCAGGTGGTTTAATTTAAGGGGCTGAAATTTGAGGGATTGATAGAGTGAAGGGATACATAAATTGATGAATTCTATCTATCTATCTATCTATCTATCTATCTATCTATCTATCTATCTACATATGTATGTATATGGAATTTATATGAATATATAAAATAAATATTTTTATTCATATATGTTATATATGAACATACATATATGCTATATATGGATATATATGACATAAGTATAAATATACTGTCACATATATAAATAAATATATATCTGAAAAATATATGTGGTTGGTTCTCAGTTCTATGGAGTGATTCTCTGCTTAACCCACCACCTAGCATGAAGGAACACTAGTGCAGCAGTAGAGGGCGCCAGACAGCCACATTGCATGGACAGATTTCCTTGTTTTTCCACCTTCCCTGATCTCTTCCCTTTCTCCTTCCTCCCTCTCTCTTTTTTTCTTGATATCAAGAGTAGTTAACGTGGAAGCCATGTTGAGAGTCTTTTCTAGTAGGTTGGGAGGATTTCACTCAGCCACTTTAGAGTATTTTAAAAGTACAATATGACGTCTATTTATTT